ATATATGTTACCATGTAAATGATCCTTTTGGGATTTTCCAATCTAAGCCTTTATAACTTTGGGACTATTTTTATCACGTTTTACACTAGAGCTCTTACTATAATGTTGTGTCCCACCAAGTGTAAACTTGATTCATATAACTCAAATGCATTGGTTGTTCTTTAATATTGAAAGCTTGTAAAGAGTTCTTTCCGAACGAATCTTTCCCTAATTTCATACTTTTTTGTCAAATCTTATCGACGAATAGAGTTTGGTTAACTTAAAATTTTCGTATGTGAGATAAATAATAATTGCAGTATACGATGCTTCGGAACTGTCTATATCGAAATTATTTGAATCTAGATCTGTCTGATTAAACATTCTCGTCACCTATATTTAGGATGTGAGGAACTTGGTCTGTTTGAGTGATTTGACCACATTTTCTAGAGGTTGTATATTGTTGAGTTTTTATGAGCAATTCTTATTACATTAAGAGTTAGCTTTGCAAAACCTTTAGGAATAACATTTTTTCAATGATTTTCGGAATCAGGATCATGGAAAGGATCTTTGCGGTGTATCACCGATTTAGACGATGCAATATGGAGATATATTGTTCTTAGTTTTTCAGCCCAGTTGGCGGCAATATGGCGCGCACAGCTTTGGCTAAACTTCACATTCATATGAAGTTATCCAGTTTATCAAGGACAATGAATCTTCTAGAAATATTTATCAAAGGAAATTGTCGTCACAAGATGCCTTAAACAAACTAGATCGTCTCGAACGAAATCTATCACAATAAAACTGGCCGACTAATTGTTCAACACCTTCGAACGTCAAAGTTGCATTTGTGTTATTTCTTAAATATGGTTCAGTAATGAGGGTTAGGGCGATCGATTGTAGGCGTTGGATGATGTGTTTTTTCTCTCAGCTTTTCACTCTCTATATATTGAATTATTCCAGATCTTAATCATGAAATATTACCGCAAGGGTCTACGGGGGATCGATGGCATAACTAGGCCTTCAGTTCCCCGCCGAAACCCACGGAAAGCAGGGTTACATTACAAAGTACCAACCCTTGCCATGTTACTTTTTCCATCGGTTGTTGGCTATCCGATCTGTTGCCTTACTGAAAGATAACGCCCAGGAAGCTTCGATAGCTAAGTCTTTCATCTAGATCTTTCTCCCGCTCCGCAATACAGTTTTTTGATCGATTTTTTTCTTCATCGTTAGTTGGTTGACTTATATTGTATTAAAGTTTGTAAAACAGAATGGTATTTACATGTAGAAGAGATAAATTACACATATTTTTTGGTTGAGCGTCGCTCTGAAATGCCCTATTAACTCTTTTCTCTAGGACACTACTGCTACCACATAAGCCTTGAGCTACCGCTCGTATCCACGTAACCTCCAGATTTACGGAGATAGACCAGGCTAAGCATTATTCGTAGCTAAAAAACAAAACGTAATATCTGAATCCGTTTGAATAATTGACTTTTTATCCTATTTGACAGAGCTACAATAATAGCGGCCTTAGATAAAATGAGGATGCATATTGTTATATTTTACATATCTTTTTTTAATAATTGGTACTTAAAAAAGAAACTACACTAACCAATACATGCCCATCTTCGCCCCCGCTGACTACGGTGCTCCCAAACCACTGATGCGCTTTATTCTCTAAAGGCGCTCCTGACTGATTTCGTCGCACCCCCTCAGTGTCCAGATCAACTGGTGAGCACCGTTCCGAATCTACTGCGCAGCTGAAAACCACTCCACCTTCCTGGCTGTCGGATCGACCTGTGGCGCTTGTTGGAGCGCCTACAAGTAACCTGCAATAACAGAACAGTCATAATCGAAGTCTCTAAATTAGAATTCAAAATTAAATCTATTATAATTCGGTTTAAAATTAATGTTCACCATTATTATTATTATTGTTATGTCTTCAAATCGCCAACTTTCACTGGCTTTTTTAATGACTTTCCTAACACCTACAGATTATTAACGTCTTAACCAACCAGCTAATCATCTTGAGCAAACATATTAGTAAGCCTACAGATTTAGTAGAATCATTATATAAATACATAAAATAGTAATAAAATGTTCGTTCACGAACTAATTGGAAAATTCAGACTGTTAGAAATCTAAATGTAACACTGTTATTTTCTTATGGAATGAACCTAACATAGGACAAAATAATAATTACATAGAGTTCTAAAACGCGTACTTCAATGACTTTAGGTAAGTGGGCCGACGAGAAAGCTAGATCAAAGATGCCACGCCTAGAAAAATTTTTTTCTAAAAGTACGAAAAGAGGACTCGAACTGCCGCACTTTCTGGATCTTTTCTATATAATGAAGGGCTGTGTAAAAAAAATTAGTTTTGCACCGTATTGCATTCTTTAACGGCTTTATCGTTCAGTAAATGCACGACGATACAGATGAATGTACTATTTGCAGATATCTCATGGTACCTGCAATAATTTCATGTCAGATGGTGATAGACACTCGGTAGCAATACCGTAACATTGAGTAGACACCTTCTTTCCAAGAGAAAATTGTTCTGTTGACTTGAAGGTCTTGAAACGTATAGAACAGTTACGACATGGCATAACACTTCAGTGCTTTTGTCTCAAAGCCACAACTGTGACTCCATTTTACGTCTCCAGCTCACGTCTGTTGGCTCTTATGAATAGAATCGATAAAGTATAGTTAAAAAAAAAAAGGGCATTTTAGAGGCATTCACTAACCGATGCATAATCCGTGAAAGATTCATGTATACGGCTTTATCTTTTACTAAATGTCGATCTAGACGTCTGGGTGCTTTTAAAAGTTGAGTTAAGAGATCTATATGTACAGTCACACAAGCAGTTTATCTTTAGTGATCACCATAACAACCTCGCAAAGACAAAAGACCCATACATAAGTGTTATATAGTATTAAGTAACATAAACTAAGTAATTTAACGTTTGAAGGATTTTACTCAAGCCTTCGAATACAACCCCCTTTTCGTATCGAGCTTTCTGTTCTTATCCAATATCTTAAACAATTCGATGACAATGAAATCGAACTATCGAACTAACTATCGTTTTTTGAAAGTAAACGGCAGCTTGTCACTTCACCTCATTAATTATTATAGTCATATGGCAACCATCTGAGGCTTCTTTAAAGGTTCCTTTAAAAAAGAAGACAAATAGGCTCTCTTTCTACTATAATGCTAGTCATGTTATACTAACAACCAGATAACATTCTTCTCACTAAGAGAGGTAACGAACAAAAACACTTCTGTTACACTGAGTATGCTCACATCAAGAGCGAACGTATTTACACAAACAAGTGTGAATACGGATGCAGAAAGAAAGAAAGAAAGAACAGAATATAAAAAAGCCAAAAAAGGCGTCGTCTTTTGTTGGGTTCTCAGTTGGAGTCAAATAAGAATCAGCTAACAACGAAAAAATACTAAAAGTTCAAAACAGATATAAAAGCTAAATTATTTTTCGATAGCTCATGTGCATTCCTTAGAAAGCATGCCTTTAAAAGGCAAGCTCCCTTAGCATGCCTATTATTATTAGTCCCCTTCTCCGTTTGAGCTTGTTGCTGTTAATACGCTCGACTGTTTTTGTTCTAGTACTATGACGCATCGCCCTCCTACTCAGTAAGATGGGTGTTAAACGTTAACGCTAATCAAAATATGTTGACAAATTTGGGAAAGGAGGACGACTTTAATGTGTACGTTGTCTGCTAAACAAGCAACAGCTTCGAGTGGCATCTATCATTTGACGGAAATTTGTACCTTGAAATTATCGACGCTTTACTCCCGTTTCAATCCTTAGCTATCTGGGCGCCGTGACACCGCTAAATAGTTAACGCATGAATACTTCGTTGAACATACCTTTAGAGGGTGTTTCCTAGCAACAAGGAATGGACTAGTCAAAGCTAGCGGTACAAATGAAACCCGAGCTTAAGCGAATGTATCTCAAATAGATGAACTTTACCCTATGGAACCAAACAGAAAAATCGTATGTTCCTGAAATAGAAAAACTTACTATTGGAGATTAACTGCGCGTCTTATGTTTTGAGAATTAAACCAAAAGGAATATGTTGCGTTTGGAGCTGCTGAAAAGAGGGTTCTGTCTGATATTTGTTCAAGCTTCTTCGTGGAGGTGGTTTCTTTACGAGTGCCGATCATCTTTATTTTTTTTTTCTTATTTGGCGTTTACGGGAGCTGGTGAAAGGTCCACCCATTGAAATACACTCATTAAATAATACTGTTCCTGGAAACCAAACTATAAAAGTCAACCGGTATAACTGTTTCATTATATCATTACTTTATTATTATTATTATTATTATTATTACGTTGAGTAGTCGAGCTAGACTATACGTTTACGTATTACTTCTTTCTAACACTACGTTCGTCCTGTTTTGCGTTTCTCTTGATTCAAAAGGATTTCTAACGTACATTTATGCTGCTATATCGAACATAAATCCTTCGGCAAACGAAAACTTCGCTAATTTTCGCGTTTACAGATTTGCCAAAAGACTGCTCTACATGCTTACTCTTGATGGACAATCGCTCTGTTGGTGCAGTAAAAAAAATCAGGTTACAAAATAATACTTATTATTTTCCGATTTAGTAGAAAAAGTTTATAACGGGATAAAGAGTATACCACTGCATGGATACCTAGAACATTGAGTCTCCTACATATGCCTAAGGATTAGTTATATTATTGACAGACAGCAATTTCCCAGTTATCGCGCAATTTCGCCTAACGGAACTCTGACGCCAGTATTGCTCTGCGTACGACTGCAACCCAGGTACTCATTCGTTTTACTTCACCGCGTATACAACAACGTTGCTACGATCTGATCTCATGATCATTCAGCCACCGGGACACATATGGGTTTGCTGACGAACTTCTTAGTTAGAAGGTTAGGGGAACGAGTATGTATATTTTAGCATATAACCGAACAGGACTATGTCCACAGTATCTCTTTGTCGGTGTCGCTACTATACACACAGGACACCCACGGCCTGAGTCACCTGGCAGCTGCAAGCCGTCCAGCTACTTATCTATCTACCCACCTATCTACGCAGAGATACCCTAAATAGCTGACCTATGCCATCGTTATGTAGCTGGTTTCCGTCCGTTTGTCGGTCCGTAGGTTTGTCTCCATCGCAATGTCCTTAACAGGAGCCATTGTTTCGTGGGTGGAGTTACAGATCGTTTTCCGCGCACATCCCTTTTCTCTTCTACACATCCTGCCACTGCGTCAATCGTCTTTAGTGAGCGATGTTCCGTATTTTACTTTTTTTGTTAAAGAGGACGTACGCAGCCGAAGTGACACTATTGCGTTAATTCGTGTTATGGCTTATTTGCCATCTAGACATTTTCACCAAAAGCGTGCTTCACCTAATCATGCGGTATCTTCAGTGCCTCAATACGTATAGATCTGCTTGTGAAATAGATGTAGTTTTAATGCTGAGTCTAAAAGTCCACAACATAGTAGGAATTAAGACGCCTAACTTAAGGCAACGTATCGATACACGAATGAGCTCCTATTACCGGTATTTTACATTTTTTTCTAAGAGTTGATAGCCAATTTTTATTGTTGCTTATAGTAGAAGTGAAAGTTATGTGGCGAACATACATATAGGTATATATATTTTCAAACATTGGACCATGCCTCGAGAAAAAATAAGACGCATGCCCTTCCACAGAACGCCACTGTCTTGGAAAAAGTACATTGACTTGTTGGGACTTAATATATATTTAATACGGATATAAACTTGGTCCAAAAGCTCATTAGACGATGCCATTTTACATGTACAGTATCTAAACTGTGGAAGTAGATTAGCACTCAGCTTAATCATTAGCTATGGTAATGCCGTATTAGCTAAATGGTCCTTTATAACTTCTACCACTGCTAAAGGCGGTCTGCAAAGCCGCTCAGCAGTTCGAGCCCTCCAACGTACATATATATATGTATAATTTGTACTACATGATCTTATTCAAAGGTTACCTTACCTAGGTAAATAGTTGCAACTTGATGCCATCATCTGACATTCGTTTTACCACTAAAATAAATGTTTCGAGTTTTACATTTGGTACTGTCATTAAACATTACTTCGGACGACGTAAGACTGCCACTAGTATAATTATTACTGATACAACAGAATGATAACTGAGGAAGGCTGGTTCTGACCGGAAACCCAGTCTTGTTTGAACTTAATCATAGGGCAAGGCACAACACGGGATGATTTTTTCTCAAGTGACTAGATAATACGTGCATGGAAAAAACTAACCGCCAGGGCAAGACGAAGGATTAAGGATTTTACTCCATCAAGTGCCTGCGGGCTAATGAGTGCATCGGACATGCCTGTTTGTATTGTGGCAAACAAATCATTTTTGGTACGCCATCCTAGAGGTACACATCGTTTATCCCTGCTCAGCTGCGATCCGTCTTTTCGAAAGAATAAGGAGACATAAAGTGCATACAATGATAAATAGTTGGTATTCTAATTTTAATTCCGATTTTATTTTGACTCGGTCACTTAGAAAATGGGTGACAGCAACGAGGTATTCGTAGCAATAGTACGACTCAGGAAACGCTGCTTGTAATTTCTGTTAAATATATTATTCATTTAGCTATATAGCGGCACATTTGCTATACACACGGCTATACACACTGATATACGCTTATGGGTTGTTAAATATCCGACGTTAAAACAATGGGTCAACAACACCAATGGCTGAATGTCCCAGCTAAGTGTCTTTTTTTTGTATCCGACAAATGTCAGTCAGAACAAGCATGCTGTTATAGGTTAATAAAAACACAGTGTTGTCTATAGGATTTCTCTGGATCAAGCTAACGTAATTTTATTCAAGATAAAGGTGTCTAAGATCAAAGTTTTCTTTCATTTTGTTGTCTAGTGGGGATCGGCAGTATGACAGTGTAGTGGTGCGTGGGCGTTAGGAAAGGTGTATTGTTTGAAAAAAAAATCGTTTGTTAAATCACGTGTGGTCAGTTCAACGCACTTGTTCGTTCAGCTTCTATAAAAGTGAAGTTGTGATGCGTATACATAGCGTGACTGCACGTTAGTCTCGTTAGAAGCGTGTCACGCGAAACGAGAAACAGGTTTGCTATCGTCGCTTTATGAATCTCTACATTTGTAGCTTGATTTTTTTCCCGCAAAGCGATTCTCGGGCGGGTGGGCCTTGCATGGTTATACAAGCTCGTACGATTTTTGTGCTAGAATATACTGAGACTAGTATCATGTCGGTGTTGTTCAGGGCTTTAATACTTTCTGGCTAGAAGTGGCATCATCACTGTCATGGCAATAGATCTGATTAAAGTGCGACTGTACAGTCCCATCAACGATCTTCAATAATGTGGCTGATTGATCTCTGCGGTCGTCAGGTCCTACCGAGCCGTGGTGAATCGTGAACGAATGCAGCACCATCGACGGCAACGAACTACTAACGGTTGAATGCTCTATAAACGTAGAGCTCTATGCACGAGTCTAGAGACATGCGAATCGGTCAAAAATAGCTCAACGAATTATAGGGTATACGCGTTTCAGTCACGCGAATAACGTTTTCGAGTCGACGCTGGTGGACTTTTTCACGTGAAAAATAGAACAAATAGAGAATACCGAGCTTGCCGTTGATCTACCGTTGAAAAGAAATCAGGACATTGATTAATCGATTCTTGAAGTTCTGTGAATTCGAGCCAGCTTACGCGAGTGTGGACTCGTACCTTCTTTGCAAACAAATTCCATCGCGTTTAAAATACGTTATGGACACTCCATCGACAGTTAAAGTATAAGCGAAGAGCACATAGCGTTCGCAGTTAGCTAAAGCACAGTCGACTCGATCAGTTGCTAATAGTCTCAACACAGCCTAAAGTCGCACTCGATATCAATACCAACTGAATGCAACAAACTGCTATTAATAATTTTACTGTGATATTTATTATTACTAAAAACGATTGACGATGCACCATTGTAGAAAGTTACAGCCAAGTAAAAGTTTACGCACTATATCGCATCTGAGAGAAATGGATTACCAACTTACGTCTATCGATAAAAACATAGGCGTTTCTGTAGCCGTAAATGTAGTATAATCTAAACGTTTCTTTTCCTCCTAATCAATATGTATAGGACGCAAATAAGGTCAAGTAAACATCAAATCTATATAAGAATATTTCGTTGATTACATCTACACATTTTACCTTTTTCGGATAAGTATTATCGAAGCTCGAATTCAACACCTATTTTAGCCTCTGGTGTTATTTAGGCGGCCCAATACGTCTTCGAGGACCGTGTGTTGACGTCCAAACATATTGAGTAAATGTCAAATTGTAGGTGTCTACAGTGAAAGTGGGCTGTGCCAAATAGAGTGAATTCTAGTTTGCCTCACACATAAAATCAGATAGCGCTAAACCACGTCTTCCAATTAGTTGCCCGTCGTAGTTCATTTCTTAGCTCACGTTGAACTTCTCTGTATACGTATGTACAAGATGCTGAACTGAAGCACCGTTCTTCGGAAGCTGCGAAAGGAAAGGCAGCTCCGAGGCGCCATTTTTAGAATTCGTGTTTCTGGTTCATTGCGTTCGCTCACCAACAGAACAAAAAGGCGTGCTAAACCACATAAAGCTGATAATACTCTGGCAGTTCTCTGTTGATTTCGTTCACTTAGTGGGTTCAGTATCATCGGCGAATGCTTGCTGAAGCTCAATGGCTTCCTATTATTTCACCCAAGAACGTTTCAGAATATCTTCATTTGTCCTACATTCAAGTATTACTAATGAACGAATAGGAGCAAAACGAACGATAGATGTTTTATAGGTTGTTGTACGAAGCGTTATTTTCATATGCCGTGGATATTGTTTATGCTGAAAGCCATGTGCGTTTCTCAAGATTATATTTGCTAATTGAAACCAATAGAACATTGGTTACATTGGGCAAAATCGTCACGAAATACGAGACAGCTTCATACGAGCTAATCCTTCTCAAGCATGAACGTTGTCATACCACCCACGCGAATCGTCAAAACGCTAAAGTCAGAAAGAATCTCGTTTGTTTTCTAGGTCAGCTATAGCTAGTGAACAGTCATAAGCAATTCAAATATTATGCATGTTTAAATTAATATATGTAAATCTATGAGCGATACCTGAAGACACAACTTTTGAAACATGCGGCTCGTAAATACAAGGATTAGTCACGTCACTTCACAAAAAATGACCAGTAGCGACGCCTTCTGTTGTCCTTATAATATTTAGATTTATTTATTTTTGTACACAATGAAACTATTTTAAAAGAGGTATTTATCTATAGTTCTGCGCTCTGAAGTTATGCCAATATTTCGTTTTTTTATTTATTCATCATGCGCATTTGTGGCGTTCTAATCCATGCTGCAGTTACACTCTCAATCTGTTTCCACGTGGTCTCACTGGGAGAGAGGAATCGGAAAGGGGGACTCACCATCTCTTGCTAAAACCCATCACGCTTTTGTGCCTTCTCTTCATTTTGCACAATCTTTGCCACAAAGTATGCAACTTCCCGTATTGTATAAAGTCTAATATTATCAAGTAAGCGGGTTACGATGATATTCAGCGTCGATGAATTAGTAGCGTTTTCTATTTTTTAAGCTCGTTTCCCTGTTTCTTCTCGTTTACCCTTTTGGTACTGCCGTCGCTTTTAGTCATCACAATAGTTGACGACGCCAACAGTAACGTGAGTCGTCGCTAAGCCAAGCTGTCGAATTCGGACGACAAGTGGGATACTCATACAGTCTTTTAGGAGTTTATCTATCTTTCTTTCTTTCTGTGTGTCATCCTCCGTTCAACAACTGAACCATTCTTTCAATTAAAGCACTTTCCTGCACAAATTTTGTAAATTATTACATGGCTGATACTTGCGATTTGAAGTGATGCATAGATGCTATGCATGGGCGAATCTGTGAAGCGTCTCAGGACTTTTGGCCCGCCTTCACATGGCCGTTTGATGTCGGTGTTGATGAGACAGCAACAACTCTCTGGCGGGACGCACATTGGTTGCCCTTTGAAACACTTTATTGGAGACGCATCGTCACCCGCAATTACTTCCAGCAGCCTTCGCCGTGCTAAATTGCACTCAACGATTGCCACAGCGGCTGTCGTGCCACGAAAAAACTGCATGCGGGGAGCAGTATAGAGTGAAAGGCTACGTTGCTACTGGTGTGGGTATCACAAGTGGGCTCCCGTTACGGTGGCTTATGATTGCGTCCAGACCAGACTAGGACCAAGGTGAAAGCCCACAAAGTGCAGACAATGTTTACTTTATGTTTTTTGCCGAGGGCGAGGCGAACAGAAAGCATAATAATACTATAGAGACCACTAAAGAAAGCTTCTACTAGAGGTTTTGCATGGTCATTCGTTGTCAGCATAACTAACCCTAGGACTTAAGGAGATCTCATTGTGCTTCACAGACTAGCCGGGCCAGTTGGCAAGAAACTAATCTGCAGAAACCACAATAGGTCATTCAGGAGCATAGACGATGTTTTCAAAAGATTTGACGTGGCGAGTCAGATGGACTGGCGTGCTTTACGTATTGACGCGCATAAATGGACATAGTTGCAGCTACAACCGCGCAAGCCTCCAAGACAGCACACATCGCCGCCGCGGCCTTCAGTGACGACCTGTAAGACGTAGGGCAAACAGCGGCAGGCGGAAGGGGATCAGCTATGACTAAGTGCGTCCACCTGTAGGTCTCCGAGGTCTTACGAGGCTAGTCGTTCTTCCATACCTGTATGCCTCTGGTGTCTTGCCTTGCGCTGCCATTGGTTACCACCGCCGGCACTCATCAACAGGCCAGCCCCTGTGTATAGTATGGTATAACAAGCGGTTGAGTACTCGTAGAACTGACTGTTTCGCTTGAACTCTGCGTAGTCTGTTGCTGCCAGCGGTTCATGACGATAACGTCAGCGGAGGGTTTGGCCTTCGAAGGCGAGCATGTGGGATGAAACGCTAGGACCAAACGGCGCGCGCACGCGGCCAACGAGAATAGTAGCCCTGTGTGAACGACCACCAACGTCGCCAAAAACAACGGCGGAGGGTCGTAGACCATCACTAGCACTACTGATATATCCCTATTCAAAAAAAGGGGAAGAAATGAATTGATGGCGTCTTACTGCCGCAGTTGTTAGTGCCTGTGTCGATTATTGCACTTCTGCCGTACAAAGGTAAACACGCTCGCAAAGCTACTCACACAGCCAATTTATGCTCAGCGCGCTATAGTCGGCCCGAGAAATTGTTAAGTAGCGAATAGAAGCTAAGACGGGTAGCAAAAGTAAAGTAGTTTCTGTCTTTAGCTCCCTCATTCTATATGTGCCGCTAGCGTACTAACCGACTAGAATTTATACATATCGTAGTAGATCAATTATTGGAATCTAGATATGTAACTAAATATATGACCACTAGTCTGCTTCATATTGGTGGCAGCAATGGGCGGGCTCGCTGGCTGGCTGGCGTTATGGATACCTGGGTGATCGGATCGTGTTGCTGGAATTGGCATTCGAGGCCCAGCCGATGAGGTGGACTGAAGAACTTGAGCGCTTAAATAGAGATCGCGGGTAGTACTCTGACTGGATAATAGCAAAAGTGCAGCAGTGCTCGGAAGGAACGTACCGAGTGTGATTCGACTCGCGTGTATGGTAAGCAACGGTTTCGAAAATAAACCATACGACTGTTTCTCTCCAGGGAAAACTAAGTTATCTGAGTTGTTTTTATCGCCACAGAAAGGACGCAGAAACGCTCAACGACTTGTGTGTCCGAAACGAAAATTGCACGAAGAGCTCGGGATCAAGCTCGAATCTAGGGTGTTCCTGGTTAACGGCGAAAGTAGCGTGAAGTCAGCTACTCTTGCCAGCTTTGCCATAGCGGCAAGAGTCAATTCCTATGCCCAGTTAGTTCAAGTAGTTGGAGACTATACGCTGGTATAGCTTGACGCTTGCTCTTGGAGTGTACCACCAAGGATGAGCATTTGTTGCTGCTCTGCGAGAGGGCATATTAACCCGCAGTGGCCGCAAGTAACGCAAGGTACAATAAACTACGAATGGAAGCTCTAATCGTGTTCGTACTATGTGGCTTGAAGGCCTTACTGCACATTCGCTGATCCGCGTGCCTCGCATTAAAAATACCATCCTCAATGCTCTAATCTGGCGTATAAACAAGCTAGTCCTTAGTAGTCGGCGGTAAGAAAAGCATCTCGGAAGCGACTGACAGTCAATCGGTTTACTTTCGATGATCACACCCTATGTCGAAACGGTCCTAAAGGCTTATCAATATTAACTGAAACTGGTGTTTGTCATTGGAGCCATGCAAACGTGAACAAGACCATACGCCGTCTGGTAACATGCTATTTTCCAGACAAAGGGGCATAGGCCAAAATAGGGGTGTACGTACATACGAGATATGTGTACCGATCTGTAGGAAAAAGTCGAGAGAATGCGTCTCTTTCTAATCTTTGACAAAGTATCTGCGAATTTGCCGCATGAAATTTATGAGCAGCCGCCCATTTGAGGAGTACAAATGACTACGATACCCTCTCCTGATAGGTACGCCACTTGCCTTGGAGATGATGAAATCTCGCCCAACACGTGCTCGTACAGATCATGAGAAGGTCTACGCAGCTCACTAAACTCTAAAGGTCACCGGTCGCAAAATAAGGATATTTCGCTAGATAGACATGGTACAGTCGTATTAGGTCAAATATTATAGTTTAATTATGTCTTCGGCTATTGCTGTCAGCCTGGTTAGTGCTCCGCAATACATCCACCAACACTAAGCACCAAAGAGAGTAGAAGTAGCCAAAAGTTAACAGGATAGATGGGTGGCCAACACTTTTCTGTATCAGAAGAAGGCGACGAAAAGCGCACACGTTTTCTATTCGATGGTTGAACATAATGCATACATTTGAATACATAAACACATCCGACACAATAGAAGTAGTACCAGCAGTGATCGTAACAGAGCTTCGAGTCCATCCGAACTAATACGAAGAAAGGTCTGTAACACATTGATACAAATAAAACGACTAGGCTTATCAAAACAATCAGTCCAGTAATGATTTCACCATAGACGAGTACGATACAAATGCATGGATAATACCCCTAACATCACATCGCTACGATGAACTTTATTTACCACTGACAGTGGCCACTCGTCCTGGTCGCCTTGACCTGCTGTCGCTACTGCCCACCATGAGCAGACCTCCAAACAAGAGGAATCTACAGCTTTTCCTCCGGGCCACGCTAACTAAGTTTTGTGGGCCATAATTGCGACAAAACTCGGCGAATTTTAAGAGGTTATATAAGTTGATTATGTTTAATAAAGTTTTTGGTATATTTATCGAGCAGGTAATGCGCCAGAAACTTAGAACTGAAATTCTAAAGTAAAACATATCGTATCGTAATAACTTAATCAACTATATAAGGTTCAATTAACAACAATAGTTACAGCACGGGATGAAACGTGTGTGTGTAAAAATGATTCCTGTTCAATTAAAAGTTCATCAATTAATTTAAATATCTGGCTTGATGAGTAGGTATATTTTTCATGTGTGTGCGTGTCTGCAGGTATCACCTGTTCTGATAACGGCCCACGCAGATGGTTGCATCTTAGATTAGAAACGATTAGTGCTCGTCCACTAAATATTGTGTATTCTTCTATATATCTGTACGTATATAGACGATGTATGATCAAAGCATAGTAGAAGCTAATCATATAGAATATACAATATATATAAACGTGGGAGATGATCGAAGCCGATAGAGATAATTCTGCGAGACGGGTGACTAGGCCGCGGCAACAGCAGCAGCAGCACCTTTCGAGCAAAACCGATGCCCAGAACCAACTATTATCTCATGCGCCATCACGTCCACTACTGCATTGCCTTACCGTTCTGATACAATGATTTCCACTGACAGCAGCGACGGCGCTGCTGTTAGAGGACATTGTATGTAGATGGCATGTTATGACTCGGATGAGGTCACCGTATTACGAGATACTAAGAACAATTAGTTTGAAATGAGCAGCTATTAATAACGACAGCGTGCAGCCTCCCCGTGTACATTGCTCTCGAACATGAAGCATTTTTAAAAATTCTTCTCTAGAAAGCTATATATATATAAAGAAACGAACCTTAATGAGAGAGCACAGGCCTAATATCCAGTTTCTAGGAACATTCGACGGGTCACAAAGGCAATGCGGGTTGCTCTTAATCAGGACCGAAATTCTGCCATTAGGAAGATGGATCGGTAACTCAAGTTGACAACAACTTGACATCCTTTCGTAATAGATAACAAAGTTCTGATAAAATGGTGCCCCTAGACCCAATCAGCCAACTTGCGTATGCATATGATAAAGCAATAGATTATGTTTGGTAAGAGATTCCTCTATCTTATAGTGTACAACAATTTTTTTTGATTACTAAATGCTTCGAATTATACGAATCGCAGCGCACTGTAACATATGACAAATGCGTGATAGCTACTTAAGGCAGGAAAAGGAGGGCTGCAATGAGGAGAGGAGGGCAACGGCGGCCATAGAGGTACATACTACGTGTGTTACAGTATAAATGTTGTAATGCATACGATTCCTAATATCGATACAATCTGATCCGGCCAGAGGAAATCTAAAACAAGACTCTTTTTGAGTGGTATTCCTGATGTGAGAAACAAATTGGTTTTTAGTGTCTCTCGAAGTATAATACTGCAGGCAGTGTTCATCTGTTAGAAGCATCTGCTAAACATTACATCGACATTATATTAGCTCGTTAGTTAGTCAAAATTACATAGTAAAATAAATAATGTTATTCGCATCTCATTTCAAAGCATTTGCAGGACAGCAAATGACTACAATGTGGATCTTTTGCTCGCCGAATAGTTTTCTTGCTGACGTCAGACTGGCTGTAACAGGGTATGTACAACCGGCGCGGCAAAATCCATCATTTTGTACTAAACAACTGAAAAACGTAATGAGCCATATTAAACTTTCATAAATTTAAATCTAGACAAAACGAATTGATTGCTAAAACTGCTCCAGATGCTAATGTATTACCTATGTAATATCGGTATGCACTTTTTAAGTGAGGTAAATAAGGCACACTTATTTATCTTATTTTAACAGTCAATAACGGCTTTGCTTACTGTGGCCCGTTTAACTGGCAGCTAACTAACGATGGCGTATCTTTTGTTTTGGACATTTTTGGCCAATAGACACAGTCACAGAAGGCTGATGATATATGAGCAACATGCGCGT